AATAATATATATAATATAAAATATAAATACATAAAAAGCCAGTGAATAACATATATTTTCAGAAACAAGTTCTTTTGCCATTTCAATCATATCATTACATGTTTATAAACATTCAACATTATCTTCCTGAGACTGTTTCATTCTGTATCTACGTTAACCAGTGAAAAAACTATTACATGATAAAGATGAAATTGGGATAGCAGGGAACGGAACTCCTTGATTTCCTGTACTTGAAGATCAAAAGTAGCAATGCCTGGTTAACTTGATGAAACCTACTCTAATGCCAGGAGAAAAATTCTATTTACTAGACCATGAACACTTAATAATTTGGAACAAGTGTAAAAAGATATTTAAGATAAATAACTTCTTTTATCTGAAAAATTCCTTCCTTGGATTGTTAAATGTCACTTCAATATTACAGGTCTCAACAGCTGTGCATTATCCAAAAGCATTTAAATCAGAAAACAAAACTGCCAATTAAACTAGCATAACTAGTCTTTGCTTTAGACAGGAAGTAAATTAAAAATCTCACAATGAATGCTCATTAAAGAATAGCACAACCTAGTATTTCTAACATTAAATATTACAGACTGTTGCTATACACATTAAGAAGTCTTTTAACACAAGGAAACTGCCTGTATCTAAAAGAAGGAGAAAGTAGCTGTTGAGTCACAAATCTGTATCCAACTTCACAAACCATTTCCCAAATACAGTCAAAATATGCGTGATTACCTTAAAACAATCAAACAGGTGATCAAGCTGTTCAGGAGAGAAATCCCAAGCTAATTTTGCAAGGAGATCATGTACATTTTTTACAATGGCTTCGTGTTTTCCTGCCTGTCAGGAAGACAAAAAGAATCCACCAACATTTGTAGCAACACATATTAAGTCAAGCAGCAAGACATCCTACATAATTTCTACAAGAAGACTGTTTGAGGTGGCCAGCAAGAAAACCTGATGCTGTGGGAGCAGCAAGGCAAACTGAATACTCACTTCACTGGGAAGTCATGGAATATTTCCCTTGTATGCGTAAGTATCTAAGGGCGCTCTGTATGTGTGCACACGTATTTATGTACAATATAAACGCTGTGGTGTCACAATATTTTTTTTTTAACAAAATCATTGTGGGACAGTAGACAATAATGTCTAAAAGGGTATTTTAACTTACAAATCAGTATTTTAATTTAATGTAGTTTTGAGTTTTTTGGGGGTTTTTTTTGAAAAAGACTCAAAAGCCACTTCCTCAATGAATTTCATTGAGGTGTTCTAGGCTGTAAGTGTAGAATAAAAAAGGTAAAACAAATGCCTAGAAAACAAACTCTGATGTAATCTTGTAAAGTATTAAAAATGCACCCATGAGCAGTTTTAAAATTAATTTCTTTCTAAAACCTTGCATTAGTACTTCACTTAAAAACAAAAAAGACTAATAGCTTTGTTACATTAGTTTACACTGTATATTCTTTATAGTGTGCCATAAATTTTTCTTAGAAAAAAATTTATTTAAGTAGAAACATTTGTTTTCAAGTTATGGGTCAGATTAGGAGAGAGGGAATTACTAAACTAGTTATATTCCACTTTTTTTTTTATGATTTTTTTATGATTTTGCAAAACATACAATTTTTTTTCTCTGATCAGACCATTTACTGGATAGAAAGAAAAACTGAGCGCATACAGGTCACAAAGAGTACCTACAATATAACAAATAAAAGGAGAACTACGCACAGCCGCTGGGGTGGCAGGGCAAGAAGACTAAGGTGTACAACAATCTCATCTTGGGAGGTTTTTAACAGATACAGGGAAGCCCTTAAGAACAGAAAAGGCCAGGGAAGCAGTACAAGACAGTAGGAGGACATAAGGAACCTGGTGTGCGAACTGTCAGCTTGCTGTGCTGAAATAGGGAAGCGCGTGTCAAAATCTAGTTAAATGTTCCTGAATGTAAGTAATGAGACTCCAACACTAATCTCTAATTTTATTTCTTGTCCAGATGAATCTTTCGCTGCAAGTCATCAGGCTGCAACTTAATGCTTGCCTTTAGAGACTTCCAACATTATTCCTTTAATCAAATATACTTCTATTTTTTGAGCACTTGTTTTGTAAGACAAGAAAACACTTCAATAAAACTTGAAACTTATGTTCCCTTCTAAATGCAAAAGCACCATGATTTTATTATTTTTCACTAAGTACTTATTTTTACTCTAGTAGGATACTGAGATTCTCAGGGTAACTCTACAATGTCAACTAAATTTGTTCATGCTCACCCTCTAAAACCAGGCGGTAACATAACAGCTCTAGCTGAAAGCAAAACCACACCATTGCTGCACCGAGCCAGAGCTAAAATAGCCTGCCTGTTACATAAAGCTACACAGTAAATCAACGCTTCGCTACTGAATTTCATGCTTCAGCTGCTCTTAGAAGCAGTCATTTAATAAGAACTTCTAAAAACTACTAAACACAAGGAGTAGTGAAGGTGGTAAAAATCATTCCGTAATAGTAGATTTTGGTATTCTTGCTTTTGTCTATTTTAATTCCATAGCCAACGCCACAATGAAAAAACTGTCTACCTGAACAATACTTACTAAATTCAGCTTTCACATACACAAAAAAAACACAGGGCAAACTGCAGCAACTGCACCGTGGCAACTACCAGGTATGTCAGAACATGGGAGATTTATTCCTAAATTTTTTGGCAACTGGTGGGGTTCACTACCCCTATCTTTAAGGGTTGTACCACTTGTTCACACTTTTCTGGAAAGGTAAAAAGTTTACCTTAAACTAACTTATCCACATGTCTCATTTCCAGGCACTATGAGCAATATAATTGCTTGGAAGACTTTCTTCCAAATTTCAGCTTTTTTTTCCTTCTTATAAAACATGAGGCTCTAGTACAGCTAATACAAGCCTACTAACAGCAAACTTCTCAAAGTGGTTTTTTCCCCCTACAGACTTCTTAAAAAGAGAGCCTGGAAAGGTCTACAGACCACAAGTTGAAAACTAGCAGTATTATCACAGACCCTAATTCAAGTTTTCTGTGTATTACTCTGTTACGTGATGTAATTTTCTGGACTTAGGGATAACAAGAAAATAAAGACTTTCTTGAGTTTCAGCCTGTGCAGCATTGTGGTTTGACCCACCCAGCAGCAGCAAATACCACACAGCTGCTTGCTCACCCTCCCCCCTCCCAGGGATGGGGCAGAGAATTAAAGAGGTAAAGGGAAAAGAGACTTGTGGGTTGAGATAAGGACAACTGAATAGCTACACTACAATAAAATTGAAAATAATTATTATAATAATGACAGTAATAGTAGTAACAATAATATACAAATATACAAATGAGTCATACACAGTGCAACTGCTCACCACCCCATGATCCCGGAGCAGGCAGAGACCCAAAATTACACCCCAGAAAAGAGTCTGAGAGCGTGTGAGAGTCAGAGAGAGAGAAGAAACTTCCAGACAGATCCTGATCTATATACTGGGCATGATGTGCATGATATGGAATATACCACTGGCCAATTTGGGTCTCATCCTAAACCTAAGGTCAAATCCTAGGCTAGCAATTGGGGCTGTGCTCCTTCCCCACTTCTCCTGCCCCTGCAGACACTGGCACAGCAGAGAAGCTGGAAAGTCCTTGACTGTCCTGGCAGCAACTGTAAACATCAGTATGTTATCAGCCTTCTCCTCAGCACAAACTCAAAATACAGCCTCTTATTAGCTACTCTGAAGAAAGTTAACTCTGTCCCAGCTGAAACCAGGACAGCAGTTACTATCAAGCTGGAAATGAAGTCTAGAGATTACAAAGTTAGTTCAAACACCAGAGATCAAGTCAACCCTTCACTACATCACCTGTAATCCCAAGTGCTTCAAACATAACTTGAAAATAGCATGCCTAAAAATAGAGACACCTGGATAAATACACTTAAGCCAAATTGTTACAGTTTCAGAAGACTGCAAACACATACAAACTAGGGATATAACTATCCAATTCCTGTGTTACCCCCCCTTGTCATGGTATAACCCTGTCTGGCAACTATGTACCACCCAGCCGCTTGCTCACTCCCCACCCCACAGTGGGATGGGGGAAAGAATCGTAAGGGTAAAAGCGAGAAAACTCACGGGTTTTGATAAAGAGTTTAACAGGTAAATATTTTGCTTTACATACATAGCTCTATATAAGCTACTATGAAGAAATTTAACTCTATCCTTGACAACACCAGTACAGCCCTCTACCTTGGAAACTGGATTTAGCCTTCCCACACTTGAAAGACTGGCCTAAGGGCTTCCTTGTACAATTAAGTTAGAGTTTAACTACCAATTACTTATGAACAAGGATATATGTACTCTCACTTGGTTCTATCCTAAATTGACCTTTCATTTTCTGTCTACTCAATAATTAATAATTATTCTGCTCTCCAGCTGCTCTTTATGTGTGCTGAACTCATACGGCCCACAGCTAGGAAGTCCAGTTTCACTGATCATTTAAGTAACTCAATATTGCAAAATGTATAATTTAAAAAAAATCATTACAATACAAAAGGAAAGAATGTGCTCTTAAACAACTTTTAGAACAGCCATTATTTTAAGCCTTATTAATAGCACTCTGCCCAGGAAAAAATTATACGTCTGTGGTGAACTCAGATATTAGAAACAATATTTTGAAATGCATTAAGGATATGTAAGTCATAATGTATCACGTTCTTTCACAATCTAGACTTTGCTCAACATTGACGGTTTTCTAATACTTAAAAAGGATAATCTTTGCACCATGCTCTGAATTGTTCCTTTAGACTTTACATAAACGTGTAGTTGATCTCTTTTACTGAGGACATTTGAGAAGACAATTTTGAGATCCTGAACCCCAAGAAAGAACACCATCTGATTTCAAAATTTTCTTGAGTTTTGTCTAACAACAAGCAGAAGGAGCACAAGTCGTCGTTTTCTCAATACATGACACAGAACAAGAACCCTCCTGCGCAGTAGCAGACAAGCAGTTGAATTCTTTACCTGTGCAGCCCAAATGTTGTCAAGATCCTGCAAAGTGAGGGCTTTCTCTTTGATGACAAAACGAAGAATTTTCTCTAACTTCTCTACATATTGAGGTTGATGAAGACTATCTCTCAACACAATTGATAAAATATTATTCTGCTGGATCCATTCCTGAATATAAAAAGAAAGTAGTGCCATCTCAAATTACTGAAGTGCTGTCACCAATATTGAAGCTAAAAAGAAAAATTTCAACCTGTTACAGACTAATGACTTCATATACAATAATCTAATTAGGAGAAATTAGAAATATGGGGCACAAGAGGAAGGTATTTATCTCTAACTTTCATTTCCTCTTAAAAAAATAATTCAGCATTTTAAATAATTCAATATGCTATTCGCTGTGATATCTTAAGGGGAAATATTTTTTCAGGCATATTAAAATCATGAACTCGAAGCATAAAAAATGTTCAAACAACTTCAAACATAAAAAACTAATGGGAAGAATAGTTAAATGTTCTCTTCAAGGAACAAAATTCTTCTCTTCCAAGTCACAATCGTTAAATATCAAAACCAAACTGTTTAAGATACTTCTAGCTTTACTGGTATGCCTAAAGCTTATCACATAAAAGGGGTAGGTTATTTAAGTACTGCCACCTATAGGGTTTTTTAAAAATGCTTCTAACTGAATTAAAGGAAAATGTTCAAGCCTTATTTAAGTAGATGTTTGGGTTTTTTTTCAGTGGTGTCACTGACACAGTCAGATTAGTCACTTATTTTTTGTTCCAACTGAAGCAAAGCAGTGCGTGCTTTGAGCACTGAAAAAGAAAACAAATGTATACAGCATCATACCTTCTAACAGTGTCCTTGATTACAGACTTAAAATATTCAAGCTAGTCTCGTGAAACACTTAAAACTAGAAGTTTTCATTTAAAAATAGAGGTCTTGTCTGAGATGCCAAACCATAGTGAGCATGTAAAGGGAGTCCTATTTCTTCCTATTGCTTTAAAAAGTCAAACTGCAGTCACTCTTTTTGTCAGCAGCCGTTTTGCAGATTATAAACCTCACAACAAGTAGCCAGTCACAAAAATGGGGCAGAATAGTGCAAAAATCACTTAACACAATTAAATTTCACAAAGATTAAGAGAAAATTGTCTTTAAATAAAACTTTAAATAAACGCTCATTTTAATAGTACCCTACATACACACTTAAGCATGAAACAGTAGTCAAAATATGTAAATATTAAATCAATAAATAAAAATGTGCTATCTAGAACTTTCTGTACCAAAGAATCCAGCTTCTGAAATGTGAAAAGCAGAGTAGTCACTTAGAACTCTAATGAGAAAAAAAGTTACTTGAAGCACAAACCCCAGACTAGATCCTTATCTAAATGAACATTTGATTCTTAGGTACAGGTGCACTAAAGTTTCAAACTAATCACACTTGTTTTGTCTAGATTTGGTTTTGGTTTTTTGGGGTGTTTTTTGGGTTTTTTTTAAACACTATATAAAAAACACATGCTATTCAAGGATCCCTTTTTAAAGCATGTTTTTTAGCAGCACTGAAAATTATTCTCAACGGTAGCTTTGAAGCAAATACAGCAATTTTTTACAGAAAGACCACTATTAAAATAACTTGTTACCATGATATGATGCCTACTGTTTATAACACTACATATGAAAAACAGCAGTGTGTGCAGGACCCATAATAGATACATACTTCTAAAAGTAAAATAATCAGGAGGAAGAAAATCTACTCAATGAATTTCAGTGAAGAGGAAAACTTACTGCCATTCTTTCAGCTGTAAGCCATTCTTCCTCTTCAGGATTACCATGTCGATGGGTATAATATGACACACTAGATATTACTTTGTTAACTTCATTTAGTGCATTCATTTTACCATTGAAAGAAGAAATTTGTAACAACCTGTAAGAGAAATTAAATGTAAGAAGCATGAAAATAATGTCAGAAGTAGCATATAATATTTAGGAGTAGCATCTTACCTCAGTATCATTTTTAACCTAAATATTTCTAAGTTTTTTACGGTTTCTTCTTGTCCTGGAACTCGTGAAGCTAAATTCTTTAGAGATTTGATTATCATTGACAGGGCATCATTTTTGGCTTCATTCTTTGCCTCTTTTTTCAGTTCATCATCTGTTAAATTTTCTAAAAATTGTGGAACCATTTCTATAATTGGAAGGAAATATTTCTTCACTGTATGTAATGTTAGAAATTCGTAACATTGTCCAAATGGCCTAAAAAGAAAGAAAAAAAGGATCAAAGTGCCATAATCTGTAATTGTGCAATACTACAATAGTAAGAAGCCATTCATTCAAGAAACTCGAGTCTATTTACAAGCCTGTGAAATGTTGAAAGTAAAGACAATTAGTTAAGAGACAGTGAGGGGAAGTGCTTCAAGAAAAGATGAAGCTTTGTGCTAACGTAATATTTTATTTAGTCCAACTTTTCAAAATAGGTAAATTATTATTTTTAAAAAACTTACTTGATGAGAGCTGCAATTATCTGAACATTCAATGCTGATCCACTCATGAAGCGATCATGTAAGATCTGAAATCCATTTAATGTGCCAAACTTGTTTATAAGATCTACTAGCCAACCCTGCAATATAATAAGCAGTTATTTTCTGACATGTACAAACTACCATCTAGAAACACTTTCAAGTACCTGCTAGTAACAAAAGTTGCTTTAAAAAAAGTCCTTACATAATAAACTGTTAGAAGGCAATAGAACTGACAGTGAACTTGTCTCTATAGCTTAAATATTCAGTTTTAAGGAAATGCTTAGAAATAGGCAACATGATCTTTCCCACTATCATGTTAAAAAAACAGATGCTATATATTAGTTATTAAAATTATTTTATCAAATATTTAGCAATAAAAACAACTATACTTCAGGTTCATCTTTGTCTGATAAGTTACTACAGAAAGCATGATGATTCCAGTATTTTTTTCTGGTTCTGGACGTGATAATGCTGCATATCAAAGCAGTAAGAATGCAAAACAACATTCTTCTAAACACAGCTAGCAATGCAAGGAAGTCCAGCAACACAGTTATTTATCTTTGGTTCTTACATATCAACAGGTAGCAGTTCTACTACAAAGAAAAAAAAAAAAGGAAGAAAGCAAAAAAATATAATATGGTTAGCTCCTGAAGTTGTACCAATGCTATTTGGAACACGATTCTGAAGAATTCAGACCCAAGAACCAGAACAGATTACTAATCTGTTTGGCTGTTAACTAGCAGCGCAAACAAACAAAAAAACCCCACTCAAAAAAATCCCAACCAAACCCCCCCCCCCCCCTCCCCAAATCAAAACAAAACAAAAAAACAAAACCCAAAACCACACTGACTAGCAACCCATGTCCAATTAAAAACATTTCTCCCATGACCGGAAACCACAATGAAAGGGAGAAATTTCTACTTCATCACATCACCTTCTCCTCAAAATATGTCACCTACAAAACCATGTTGAGTGAGAAGGTAAATCCATCAACTGGCAAATACAAGCAAGCCAATTATCATAGTAGGAATGCCATTCCAATAGAATTGTGCCAGCTTACTGTAGAAACACATGACAGTCTGGTTGTGGACCAGAGACTGAAAGAGCCAGAACAGGAAATTTAACCGATCATTATTTAATGTACACATCAAAAGCAGCAGAACATCTTAGCGATATAGAGAATGAATGTGGTTTTTTTTCCCCTCTAAGAACACTTCTCTGTGGTTACTGTATAATTAGGTAACACTGCATAGAACTAAAAATACAGGTCTGAAAATGCTCTCATACCTTTGGTGATCGTGGGTCAGGAGGACGGGCATAAAGTTCATCTTCAGCAAGCTGGACTCCTGCAGGAACTGTTTCTGAGGGACGAGTACCATTGTATAGATGGAATTTGCAGTGAGGATTTAAGGCCATGGCAAGAAGTTCAAGAAGGGGAAACCAGTCTTGGGACAGCTTGGCCACACAGAGTTCCACTAGTCGATGAGTGTTGTTAATAATACATCTCTAATAAGAAAAAAACAACAACCAAGAATATGGCAGGTGACTGTACAATGAATATGAACTATAAACTCTGAACTATTTGTACTTAGCATGCAGAATTGCCTAAGATTTTTACAACAACGTATTTCAATTTGTACCTCCTCCAATAAAGGCCTTAAGCAAACTTTAAACTATTTATTTTTAGCTAAAAATTAAATTTAGGAAAAAGACACAAATATTTCTGGTTATTTGAGGCATGCATGAATCACCACTGAGCTATTAACTTGTCCTTCTTTTACCCATTTCTCTCACAGACTTTAATTTGCTTAGGAAGATCTTCACAGTTTCTAATTTGGCATGTGAGTAGCTATCCAATAGGCAGTTTTTATATTCCAACGGCTGCTACATTTTGAAGTTAGCAGGTTGCGAAAAGCTTTTACTGAAAAAGCAAGTTTTTATGTCCTAGCATGCACATAAAATAAGCGGGTCTCTAGACACCAGGCCAAAGACAGCCTGCCTAAGGAGAGCTGTAGTACTGAACATACAAAGTTCAGTTCCTCCTCATATCATCACTCATGTTTTATCTCCTTTCAAAACCACCACAGGCAATAAGATGAAACAATGACAGAAGGATGACTTAGGGGGTCCAAAGCCACATATACAAGAGTTCTCCCAGTTCTCTGTACAGTTTCAAAAATTAGATTCAGTCTCTGCAGTCTCCTCATAGTCACAAAAAGACAGTCTCCTTCCTCATTTAAACTACTATGCTTTCAGAAACACAACTTTAACAACTTACATGAATCTCAAACTTCCAGCCACTCACTGCCTCATCTGTAAGGATTTTTGTGAAAGATATTGTTAACCCATCTCGAAAAAATCGCTGGCATGCTTCACTCTTGACATCAAGGCCTGTTTTAAAATAGAAAGGAAAAAGAAACTATTAGATAGGCAATTTCATTAGTTGTTACATGAACTTTTAAATATTGAAAGTAGTGATTTGGACTTCAAAAGTTTGGTGTTCAAAGATTCAGAATTATTTTAAAAAGAGAAGTGTTGGATTAAGACAAACTTGCATAAGCTTGAATGCACAAAAACCTGACTAACATTCTAGTAAAGCCACCTCCAAAATTGCACACCTTTAGATAATTTTTAAATTATTTTAAAAACATGTGATAGCGTGTTCTTTTTTTTCCGACACGTGTAACACTCCAAGGTATAGTAGCAAAAAGTACAATCTTTATCTTCCATTCTTCTGGTATACATTGTTTATGTATAAACTATATGTTTATGTATAAACTATAGCAACTCTTATTAAATAAGTCACTACCAGTAAAACTCAGCAAGTTAGCAGAAGAAAGGGTGAGACCTAGTCAGCCTCCCAGACACAAGTAACCTGCAAAAATAAACATGAATCCTTCTGTCTCTCACTCTCACTTGAAGTACAGTTTCTTGTAATTCTGGTGCCAGGACCCAACACACCTAGACCCCAACACTGCGATAAACCCTTGCAGCAGCCGTATGTCAAGTTTAAAATTAAAGAACAGTGCTCCATACTTTTCTTTTAGCTATTTTAAAACTCTGGAGTGATAAATAACTGAGTATTTCACGAAATCTGTGTTTCCCCTTCAAAAGTTCAGTTAGAAAATATAAATAGGGCTAAAAGTCAACAGAAAAATATATTGAACATGTAACAGTACACATGGGAAATTATGAAAGCCATTGGACACATTATTGAAAGAAAACTGTGACCTGCCTGCATAGTCTATTTACAGAAAAAGTTTAATTTTAAATCAGGGAATCTTAACATTCAACAAGCCTACAGCATCCAGATTCACTAAAATGACTGCCACCACCACACACCCCCCACAATGTCCTTACCTCTGACAGTAAGTTCCAGTGGTTTGGGAAAGATTTATTTGGGATATCAAATTAAAGTTCCTCATAGTCACAAACAACTGTGCAACAGAGGTTCATTTCAAAAGTCGTCACAGAACATCTGTCACGCTTGTTAGCAGATACCACAAAGGCTTTCCAAACTCCTGTAACAGGGCTTGCTAGCCTGTACTCCTAGAGTGGGTGCAGCTCTCAAGCAACTCCAGTAAAGCAGGAATCTTTGGAGAGTCCCTGCCACCTTTTTGAAAACAACTCCAGTGTTCCATCTTTTTATCACTAGCAAAGGTACATTATATACATTAAGTGGCCAAGGATAAAAAACTCTGCATTATCTTCCTATGTAGCTTGCAGTCTGGATAGCTGACATCCCTACATTATATAGTAAGTGCGAAGGCCAGTAACAAAAGGCCACAAGCCACAGCAATGACAACATGACGAAAGAAGAGAGATGGGCACTGCCCAGTAAACAAAGGACTTTGTTAAATTCACTCCTCAAGGAGGTAAAGATGACAACTTCACCCCATACAAAACAGAGGACAGGGAAGGCATCCAAAGTGGTCAAACTGACCTAGGGGAAATGTGCCTTTACAAACCCAAATGTAACAGTGAACTTAATTCTTGAATACAAACTTAAAGCAGCACTCAAGTGATTTTAATGTTCCTTGGATAACCAGTATACTGCAATGAAATATCTCTCAAACTTTAAAGTACTTCTTGGACCACCCCATCCCACAATGGTTAGCCAGCTTCAGTCAGCAACACATTTCAAACCAAGTCCAGGAATACCAAACCAGAGTGTTTCAAAATGCACTGTCCTTTCTCTACTTCATTGAATTTGGAAAGAGAGGGAAGGTGTAGAACCTGAGAAGATACTTCTATGACTCTGGATATACAATCACGTTCTACTTTCTCCCACAATGCTGCATTACTGACAAAACAATAGATGACACTTACAGAAGGAGCCAAGGCTAGGTGTCCACAAGGACTGGAGTCTCATCAAAAGCAGGGTACAGGAGTCCCAGAAGACAGCAGGTTGGGAGAGGAAGCAAGAGTAATCCAAAGACAGTGAGAAGAGAAACAGCAACTACACCAGACACCTGGCATCTACTGTTTGAACCAGATTCAGTATCACTAACTCTCAGGTAAGACTGCAAGCAGCTATTTTTATCCCTGTTGTCCAAATTCTGAGAGCACAAGATATGGAAGAATACAAGAGGCAAGTTAAGTGCATGCAGCCCTAAGTATCTAGAGAACAGCTGGAGAAATGGATTACGCAGTGAGAAAAAAAGTGAGTATGAAAGGAAAAAACAAGGTGCAACATACAGTATGCAGGAGCTACGATTAGGGGACCAGAGGAAGAATAGAGGGACATTTGATTTCTGTACCTGCATTTAAAAGCGATCTGTTTGCCAGAAAAACCACACAGAGTGTATTAACCCTGTCACAAGAGCAGAAACCCTCTAGGTCCACAAAACTTGTCAGTCCAGATACAACTGTAGATGAACAAACTCTGATGCATCTGAAGGGTATTCAACGGTATAGGGTTGGAGCACCAAGGCCAAGCAAAATCACTCAGCTCCTCTTCTCGAGGACTTTGGATTACACAACTTTGTAGCTGCAACCCCAGAGCTGGGCTGGCTCCACAAACTGGTGTGATACTGTGCCACTGAAGCCTCCCCAGACCTGGAGCACATAAGCCTTTCCGTGGCTTGGTAAGGGCTGGCTCAGGCCCTGCAGAACTGACAGTGACCCGGGGCCAATAAACTTCAGGGAAACCCACACTTACCCATGGGCACAGTGGCTACACATGGCACTCACAGATTCCGGCAGACGTCCAATAACTCTTCATCACCAAGAGTATGAGAGTCTTTCTACACCAAGACATTGCACTGGCTCTGCTGTAGTCATTTCACTGAATTGGTTCTAGCCCAAGTACCTGGCTAAGAAACTTTGGAACCTGATGACACAAATGCAATGTCCTTGCTATAGATAGATGGCTAAAAATAACCATTTCAAGAAAATGCAGAAGATACAGCTTCAGCCAGGAACTCAAGAGTGGTCCTACAGAAATGCAGATGGATCATCCAGAGAGAGATGGCCTTTAGAAAGGATGCTGGAAACATTATTACACTGCCTAGATTTTGGATCTGCCTACAATGTGTGCTCAAGCACACATGCACTTTTTTTTTTGAGGCCGTAGAGCCCGCCTCTCACCTCTTTCCCACTTTGTAAGCTTTTGTAATTCATCAAAAAGGAAGATTTGGGTTTGAAGTTGAAGGTTTAAATTGTGCAGTGAAATGTCATTTCAGTTTAAGTAAGGTACAAATTCTAAAAGATGCTTTGCATCTTGCTTGTAGGTGTCACATCAGAAAGTTCTGGCAGTATTTTAAAAATTGAACGTAAACATCAGGAGCAGTAAAATCCACAATAAAGGCGGAGCAGCACAGAGCTGTTGAGGGGATTTTGAAAGAAAGAGCGGAGAATATTCTAGCCTATAAAATCCTAAAACCATATTTCTTTTTTTACTTTTAAATTTATAGCACCCAACTCACTATGACCTTTATTTCTGAGGCAAATTTCATTACTCAAAACACTTCGTAAGTATTCCAGAACTACTGGGAAGATAAACAGTCTTGCTATTAAACTCTATTTTTCAAATAGGTTTTCTTCTATTAGCAAGGAACTCCAGACCATCACTTGATAGTCTCACGGCTTGCTTAATGAAAAATAATGCATTGATGCCTACACATAAAAAGATAATCTTCCATAAAAAAATGCATCTGCCAGGAATAATGGAAGTCACAGTCTAGACAGGATTCACACTGCTCTGTCAAATTTGCTCCTTGCACTTGAAGGTGGTAGTGATGTCATTTAATTCTTACTAGTACTTACCATTCAGTTCAATTACATCCCTTTCAATTTCAGCTCCTGAAAGATTTCAAGAGTGTGCAAATACCATTCTTATTTTATAGACAGGGTCGCAAAGACAGCAGTTACCCCAGAGTCACTCCAGAATGCCAACACCTATGGCCAGTGACAATGTTAGGAATGAAAGCTACTTAAGAAGCCCAACCACTAGAAAATGGTACTTGATAAAAAAAAAAATCAGTGGGCTCTTTTTGGTTTTGTTCCTTCACAATCTAAATGAGTTACAGACTGCAATATAAAATTTATGTAATCCAACGGCTGGTTATTTTTCAATTTCTCCTTTCAGTTCACCCTTTTGAAACAGACGTCCTCAGATTAAGAAAAATGCCCATAGCCAGGTAGCAAGGTGTCCAATTTTAGATCTTGCTGAGATAACGGAACACATTTTCAGTCTACTAAAAATGTACACAACAGAATCATTTCTATTACTTCTCCATGTATACACAGCTCTGAAACAGTGTCCAACAAGTTCTGAACTACCCGAACAGTGTCAGTCACACCAAGTAAGCACCCTATCATATTGCTTGAGCACTCAAAGTTATTTTAAAAAGAACCCTCTTAGCCATCATGTAACTTCCAAGTACCCAAGGAAAAAAATCTAGGATGCAACTATAAAGATAACACAGTTAAACAACTAGTTCTAACAGCTTTCATTGTATTCTCCTTAGCCAATAGTCCTTGTGTACGCACGCACACACACACACAGGAATTCATCTAGAGAGCAAGAGGAAAAATAAATAAATGGCAACGCAGAAGCCCTTTTCAGAATTGGGCATCAACAACAATAGAGATCAAACTGCATAAAGCAGATTAACAGATTTCCATTGTTCTTCACAACTTCCAGAGGAAAGAGAGAAGTCTTTGGGAGCTTTCAACTAAGTCTGACGTTTTGGAGAGTATGTTGATATTAGGAGTAGCCAAAAATCTCATTCTGCTCTCATTACTTCATTGCATTGACAGTTTTTTTTTTGTTTTTTTGGGGGTTTTTTTGTTAAAGATGACTTAACAGCTGGCAGTACACCCATCTCCCCTCTCACAAATCACGAGCACTGTTCCAACAGCCCAGACACATAGATGGCTGCACTTTCTTTCCGTAATTCGGCATTTCTTTTGCTCCTCAACAGACGTGATCACTTGAAAATCACTCACCTTAGGATTCCTGCCAGACCTAGCTACATGCCAAGAAGTCAATTCCAAGCGCAACTATGGCTGATAAATCAGCATTGGCAACAACATGTCATTATCCTATTTTGGATCACAAGGTTGCACCCTAACTTTTGTTTCTCCATAGAGTGCTCCAAAGCAAAAAAGACTTACAGAAAACAAGATAATCCAGAATATCATGACCACAATGCACTTTTTATTCTTAAAACTGCTTAAGAATAACCTTTATTAACATGGAAATGAAGTCATCCTGGTCCAGCTAAGCAAAAACAAGGAACAAGTACTTTGTATGTCACTATATTTAAAATACAACTAGCTGACAAGTGTAGGTCTCCTAGAAAAACATTTTGATCCGACTTCTGCTATTATTCAAATACTGGGACAATGAATATTGACCGAAACAGGAGACCAAAGCAACTTCCCAGGAGAACAGAACTTTGCAGAACACATGACAAACTTGTCAATCTGAATTGTACAATTTAGCAAGCCCATACACAGTCCTGATACGGAACCCTCCTACTTCCAAGCAAGTCAGGCACAGCCAGAAACATGGTAGAATTATTAGTCTGAGTCATGCTGTTTCAAATTCTAATTTTTCTCTAATATTCTCGAAAGTACCTGTGTGACAAATTCAAACAAAAATGTATGGCAAGACATTAGGAAAGCTAGGCTAGTAACTTGTTTTTAAAAAACTACAATTCTTTGAGTTTTGGTATCTGTTATAAAGACCAGACCCACTAGGTCTGGCATCAAAGTGAATACAGAAAACAGGTAGGACAGGAATAACAAGATTTTTATTGCTGTGAGCTTACTGAACTTCCCTACTCATGCTAAGGCACCTAATTTCTAACTGCATTGATGGTTTTGCATACCACTCTGACACAATCTTCAGGACCAAGGTTGTAACAAGAAATAATTAAAAAATTTTAACCTCCACCAGGGATTCAGAAGAACAAGAAAAGACTTTAACACACTGGCCCAGTAATAATTGTCTTTTCTGCTTACCTTTTTTACTTAGGTCAATAGCAGCTTCTAGAAGAACTTCTAATTCCCCTTTCGGCAATACTGGAACAACCCATCGAGGCCTATATTCAAAACCAAAACAAATAGCCATGCATTTGAATTGCGCTTCACAAAAATCAAGAATTCTTGCCCCTTTGTAATGCTTTTAATATAGCGTAAGAATATACATTTTTCAGTGGCCCTGATGACCCCATTTAAAAAACTAACAAACAAAAAAAATTCTAATTTGAGCCTCTTTCTCTTTACAACTCTGATCCAATAAAAAAAGTATTTCAAGAAATCCAGTGAAACAAAGATGTTCCGTTGTCGAGATACTTGTATAAATAATCTATACCCTCTGAAAAACTGTGAAAATACCTGTTGATCATGTCATCCAACTTTGCCAGGTCTGTGTGTGGAAACGCAGGCTCCTCATCTTCAAGCTGGGGTGGAGCATCTCCTTGGACCTGCTCCTCAGGCGGGGTAGCTGGGGAGTTCTCATTGGAAGAATCAGGTGAAGAAGTCTAAAATTGGTAGGGAAAATACTTTAAATACTGCCTGCACTTACATGCCACTTATTTTGATATTTCTCCTTCACATTGTGTTTCAAAGAATCACTTGAAGTACCTGTCATCATAAAATATAATAATTTTATTTCAGATTAACAAAATATAGAGCATAAAGTGTGCTATATGCTTTCTAACTTGACCATTTAAAAATTAAGCTACTTTCCCAGACTACTACTTTCAGCAGACCACCTATCTGGAAGGTAAAAATAAAGACTATACATATGCTCCAGTTTTTACAGATCTTCTGCAGAAAATATTACTATGTTAGGTAGGACAAACTTCAGCAACAGCACAGAAAAAAATTATCATGAAAAATATTTTCTAAGAGAGTTTGCTAAAAATGAGTAACACTACTACAGCTGGCTACTAACCAACCTCCAAGAACATGATTAGTTATTTTAATGGGCCATTTTAATTAGCCATTTTAATGGACCAGGCAAAATACAGTGGATTTTGTAGATGCATGCTTATTTGTATATAGAAATAGTATGAACTGGCAATAATAAAAGGTTCAAATAAGAACAGGAAGATTTAGGAGGACAAGGGAGGGCCAAAACCTCAAGACTATTTTTCACATTCTGTACTGTGTCTGGTTGGCATGGAGTTAATTTTCTTCACAGCATCCTGTACGGTGCTGGGTTTTGGATCTGTGACCAAAACAGTATTGATAACACGCCAGTGTTTTGGCTGCTGCTGATATGTGCTTGCATGGATTCAAGGCCTTGTGTTTCTCACTTTGCCCTCCAGGCAGTAAGTAGGCTGGGGGTAGACAAGAGGCTGAGAGGGGACACAGCCAGGACAGCTGGCCTAAACTGACCAAAAAGATGCTCCATACCATATAGTATCACATTCAGCAATAAAACAGGGGAGAAGTTTTTTTTCCATGGTAGTTGTTCTTAGGGACCAGCTGGGCATCCATCACCTGGTGGTGTGTGTGTTTGCACCACTTGTTTCACCTCCTACCCCTTCCCTTATTAAACTGCCTTTTTGTTAACCCATACAATTTCTCACTTCTCCCTTCCAATTCTCTCCCCCATCCCGCTGAGGCGGAAGGAGTGAACAACAGGGTGGAGACTTACCTGGCAGCCAGGGTCAGCCCATCACACATGTTCCAAACAACAATTAATCCTCAGGAAGTAACAACCATTAAACCTTGTGGTACTAAACAAATATAATCTTCATACTAAATTAAATTACAAAGTGCGGCTTTTCTTTTAAATGGATTTGGCTGCACTGTTTAAAAGCATATTTTCCAGTATTCCGCCCCCCCCCAAAAAAAATCATCACATTATGATGTGGTATTTCAAAGTTTTTGTTTGTCTTTTTGAAAGCAGGATAACCTGTTCCACAGAAAGGTGCTAAGTTGTTCACAAAGTCTACTACAATGAACAGAGACACAGATGAAGCTGGTCTTAAACAGCTGATACCTGCTTGTAAGCTTTTTTATCCAAAAAGTGCTTTTGCAGAACTGAGCATGAACTGTAACTCTCAAGAGAGTAACTTTACCAACCTGTGGCACGTAAGCCTACAATACGGTTTTGAGGAAGCTTCTGATACTATTCTAAGAATGCTTCTTATCCAAAATACATATGCTTGAGAGAACTATGCCACTGCCTGAAAAGGGAGCATCTTTTTCAATGCAGTGCTCCCTAACAGTATCTACTTTGCCAGTAGCACCACCTCCACCTTGAAAAATATTTTTTACTTCTAGACACACACGCAAAAATATCTAACTTAACTAGACATCTCTAGGAATATACAAACTCAAATAATTCAGACACACTCTAACACCCTGATTTTTAGACAACTTGATTGCTAATATCATACCTGATTCTGCTGGAGGGGAGGCTGGGACTGTCCATCAGGAGCCTGGCCCTGGCTATCATTCCCTCCTACTGGAGAGCCACGAGTCGTGGCTGTCATACTCGACACAGGGCAGATCTTTGCAATTTTGTCTGCTTATGTAGTTGTTGTGAGAGAAGAAATTATAGTCCACTTAGTAAAGTTGAAGTACCAGCGTATGCTTGTCTTAAAAAGCTCCAACTCAAGAATATGCCATCTTGCAGAGACCATTGCATAACCTGAAAAAACAAACAAACCAATATGCTATATTGACACATCCATATAGAACTAATCCATACTTTGAAAAGAACACTACAAAAACAAATACACTGCTATAAATAATCTTTTATTTTAGACTTAGTACTTATTTTTATTGAGTACAACTAACATCAGAAGAAGGTAACATTTGAAAAATTTAATATTATTTTAATCTTCTAAATAAAAGCTACACTGATAATTACCTCTGTACCACTGAGAAAACGACACACATCCAAAACACAGCTGATACTCTCTGCTGTGCTTCATTGCTACCTTAGATTCTCAGTTTGAATCCAAAGTGCTGACAGAGGTCTATGTAGAAATGAACTGCATAAGACCGTAAACAGACGAATTTATCATCTTTTCCAATACTCTTCTCCTGACACTGTCCAACTTCAGATTTCTGAGAAGTAGTTAGAAAGTGATTCTACTTCAGCTAAGACTAATACAGACCCTGCAGCCAAACTTCTTCTATTAGTCCATCAGTATTTACCTAGGGCATTTGAGCTGTATTCCCTTCTTTCAGCATGCACCTATGACAGCCTGGGTCTACTGCCCTTTCACACTCACTGCAAAGCCCATCACATCCCCCCCAAATATTTAAGTGGATTATATGAAGAAAAACTGTGACATCAGATTTACTTGTTGATCTTGTAATCATGACAAACCAACAGTTTAATAATCACTATGCACTTCAGCTTCATTGTGTATCATTTAAATACAGAAATAAGAAGTTCCATTAAGTTATACCAACAGTTCCACTCTATACTACAGGGCACTGTACAACCACAAAAGAAGAGATGTCATTTTCCAGATCAACTCTTCCAAGTACTACATAAACCAACAACAGTACTCAGAAAGTTCAAAAGCCAAGCAGGGTGTCAGAAAGAATGGTATGAGCGTTCAGCAAGATTCAGTTCACGGTGCTAAGTTCCTGATTCAATCAGCAAAAGCTTTAATTTAACAAGTTAGAGTGAAATTTCTGCTGTAACACTATGCACATTTGTAACTGGCTTATCATGACATCTCAAATTAGTTTTCTATGCTGTTCTTTCTCAAGACACTTTAAAAATCCTTTCCTAAATTGTACAAATTTGCAAGCCCAGTTACATATATAAATTTTGACTGAATACACTATTTCTCCAGTTTCCAATATTAACAGCACCAACTAATTTAGACATCTCTAATATTGTCACTAAAACAATGTTCACTTTTGAATAAAATTGTATTCTTTGAATACAGTCAATTGTAATCCATCCCCACCCTTCAGAATTCATATTCACAGAGCTTAGTAAGCCTGCTAAATCCAGCAAAAAGGCATTATCAACTCAAATTTCCTTTGGGAAGAAACTGATTTTTTTTAAAGGCAACTTTAAAAATTAACTTATGTTAATTGGTGCTCTTTTTTAAATGCCTTCCCCTTTGAGTATTTAGTTGTTTTCTAATCAATGTTTAGAAAGATCACTAGGTAGAAAGTATTAGCAAGGCTAGGTTTCCTGCCATATATATACATATACACGCAAATACACTGTAGTCTACTGCAGTTCAGTGTAGACAGTTCCCCTGCACCACCTGACTGAGGCTTATAGGTACCCACATAAACCAGTTAAATAGAACCTCTGCCAACTTACACTGTACTTTTCAACAGCCTCAAGCCAACTCTACCACCGCAATAAACCTTCCTTAATTACCACCATTCTTCCTTAGCAGGTCTGGTTCACAACACAGCCACACAAGAACTTGTGCTGGCACAAGGTAGCAAAGAAGCAAGGAGAGGGTGAAACAGCTCCATTCAGCAGCACTCCTGGTCAAGGGTGGCTTAAACTGCAGAAAGACGTGATGGCTAGCAGCTTAAGTTCCACAATAACTTACAAGAAGTGCAAGTTGCTTCAGCCTCATCTTTTTCTTATTCTAATGCTTTTGGCTGAACTATCATGAAGTGAGCCAATTCAGAGTACTAAAGGAAACAACAATTTTAAAAAAACCCAGCCAAATTTACAAAGATTGTAATTACTTTTCAGTTTCTTTAGCTACCTAAACTAGTGTACTGCAAGGCCAGAGAGTACTGATCCTAACGCCAGCCAGAGAACCAGGATGGAACTGTAGCTCTCCTGTTACCCTGACTTACACTAGTGCGGATTCACCTTCAGATTTTGCCTCTGTGCTTAGTTGAAGGGTGTGAGCAAAGCATTCCGGTAAATTCCTTTCTGCTCAAGGTGAATGACATAATGTAACTACGAGATACAAGAAAACTATTATGGAAATAACTGACTTATTCAAAATCTTGTAAATTCACAGAGTAAAACAAAATCTGCGTCAACCAAAATAAAAAGAATTTTGTAGACACTAGTAAATACAGAACATTTACATAAAGGACTAACATAACTTTTTCTTCCTCTTATTTAGTGACTGCTTAACACTGAAATGATGATACTGTATGCATATTACTTAAATTACATTCCCAGAAAAGTATATTTCAGAGCCTCCAGATAAGTTCATTTGGCTTGGCCATGTGCATAAGAAAGGCCAACTTCTTAACAACATCACTTCTCTCCCCTCGTTGGTGTGATGTCCTCAAAGATACAAAAGTAACTTCAAGTTATGCTGCAGTTAACTAAAAACACTCCATCTCCAGCAAATGGTCCGATAGCTTCTTGTAGTACCTGCATATTCTAAATTGCAAGGATATCCTTGTTCAGGTATTTTCCTTCTAATTAGAGAGCACACAAACATGATTTTCTAAGCACAAATACCCCATTTATGCATTTTAAACAGTATTAGAAGGGAGTAATTTACCAGTCGTGTTTTCAGCCACTGATTTAACCATTTATGCTTAACTGCATGCACATGGACAATGCACTACTGCCGTAATCTCTCTAGAACTGATTAACCATGAAATTTCTAATTCCCGTCACTTCTTTAATTCAGACTATTCAATTTCAAATTTTTAGAGCTAAAACTCACCAAGGCACCATTTGGCTCAGCTCAAGAATAGCCTTTACACCAACTTATAATTGAGTATTTATAAACAAATGTAAACTCATGCAGCAACACCTTGCTTTTGAGTATACAGACAGCGCAACAGAAACAATTCAAACTGCCTGTATCCATCTGAATTCTAATGGAGATTCTATTACTGATTTTTATATGTCTCATTTCTACTATATTGAATTTTGGATTCAGACACTAAGCTATGTTTAAATCTAACAAACCAACAAAAAAAATCACCTTTCCCCAAAGCTTTGAGCAGATATTCTGATCCAGTGTCAAGATGGAGACAGATGCCTATTAAACCACAAACTAACCACTCCATTGTTAATCAAGCAACATATGAGGCTACAAAGGCTGAACCAAATGAATCCCACCGACATTTGCTTTTGATTGTCAACTGAACAAATTCCGATTTTATATGCTTTTTCCATCTCCTTATGTCACCCTAATTCACCACCAAATTATAAGTGAAAGGCAGCTTTTGCTTCATCTGACTCCTTGTAATTTTACTAACACCAGGAAAAGACAACTACAGTTTTTTTGACTCTGCATTTTCCCCATCTAGAAGACAGCATCCACTGCAAGTAGCATGCCAAAAGAGCATCAGCAGACTGCACGGAGGACGCTGGACATGGCACTTCCCTCTGGAAGTGGCCTCCGCTTCCAGGCTCAAACATTCAGTACAGCTACACATCTGAGCCTCATCTCAGCTTCCACAGCCAGCAACCTCATGCCTGTGCGGCAGAATAGGTTAATTTTGTTTGGAGAAGAAAAGAAATCAAGCACCTTTTTAAAAGCCAGAGGGAAAAAAAAAATCAGATGTAGGTTCCCAAGTAAGCTCTAGATAAGAAGCAGATATGTACATATTACTCTGTCATAGGATAACACGTAACAGCAAATACAAAGGATGTCATTTTAGCACATAATGATCAAGGAACATACATAATCTAATACAGTTGACTTCTAGAACAGCTTTCATCTGAGTTTCTCAAAGTTGTCATTTCAAAAGTAACTGAAATACTCCAATACATACAGCCTTTCTCCTAAATTAGCTACTTACATTATAGAGTCTCAGAAAAAAAGCAAATGCAAGGTGACAGTAGCAGACCTCAAAATACAATTTATTATTCATGTGCATTACCTAAGCCCTATCTAGGGACACTGGACTATTCTTCCTTTATTTAAAAGTTTTCTCATTATATACAAGTGAGGATACATGCCACAAAATCTACTTTGCAGTGTGGTAACAATGTATGCCAGGATCCTAGTCTTACTCAAGATGTAACAATAGAGCTTTTTAAAAATCATATAACTATGCTAAGAAAAAATATAATTATTTTTTTCTCCAGCTTTATTTATAGACTAATGTTCCTGTCTTAATGGGATCTCACAGAAGATGTGTTTTTTTCATCATAAGTGCTGTACCGCAAAAAAGCTTAACTGCAGCAATATAAATTTGAGGATGAAAGGTATCACAGATTTGTTTTATACAGGATTCTGGGAACTGCCTTCTTAAAATCCTAATAAATACTGACTCATCACAAGGGTTACGACGTGATCTAGTCTAAAAATTCTAGACTTAGGAATCTAACGTTCTACCCTATTCCTTTATTTCAATCAAAATGCCTTCTCATCTAGAAACACCTCCTCCAAAATTGTAACACTGACCTAATTCAGTAGTTACAATCTATATACATCCCACACATTTATAATTTTCTTTCTTCTCTGTGCCTTGTGTCTTTCAGGAAGAAGGAAATTATTTATATAATCAGAATAGAAAACTAGTGGTCCCACCAATTTGCTCATTAACAGTGACAGGCACTAAAAATGAAATGTATTCAATGATTAACGAAAAAATTGTCATTAAGCTACTGTTCAGCAGAGCAAGAAGTGTCTAACTTTCAAAGTTTTAAAAAATACCTGATAAGCATCAGAGAAAAGCTTATTTCAAATAGCTTATATTACCAAGATAATTACTGAAGATTCCTTCTCC